GGATGGTTTCTTTCTGTGCCTTCAATAAGTCTTCTTTAAAATACTGCCAGCTGTCGTGGACTCCTTTCCCCTTCATGTTAACATCCCAGGGGATTCTGCCCATCAGATCTCGGAGGGAGTCAAAATCTGCTTTTTTGAAGTCCAAGGTATGTATTTTACCCTTCTCTTTTCTTCCTTTGGTCAGGATCCTGAAATCTACCATCTCATGATCACTGCTTCCCAGGTTGTCACCCACCTCCACTTCCCCTATTAGTTCCTCCCTGTTTGTGAGAAGAAGGTCAAGCTGCAAAAAAGGCCCCTGGTTGGATCCTTCAGCACCTGTGTCAAGAAGTTATCCCCAACATTCTCCAAAAACTTCCTGGATTGCCTGTGTACTGCCGTATAGGTTTCCCAGCAGATGTCAGGGTGATTAAAGTCCCCCACGAGAACCAGGGCCTGCGATCTGGAAGCTTCGCTCAGTTGTCCGAAGAAAGCCTCATCTACCTCATCCACCTGATTCGGTGGCCTGTAGCAAACACCAACCACAACATCACTGCTGTTGTTTGCTCCTTTAAACTTAACCCATAGACTCTCAACAGGTTTTTCTCCCTCTTTATACTGGAGTGCAGAGCAATCGTAGTGCTCTCTTACATATAGTGCAACTCCTCCTTTTCTCCCCTGCCTGTTGTTCCTGAACAGTCTATACCCTTCCATGACAGCGCTCCAGTCATGCGAGTCATCCCACCAAGTCTCTGTTATCCCAATTAAATCATATTTCTTGGTCTAAATATAGCTGTTCAGCATCCAGATGACTTTTTACTTATTTTAGCTCAGATCAGCAGTATGGTTTTCAAATATAAGTATTCCTAATCTGTAATAGTATTTTTTTTAAAGAAAACATACAAACAGTTTTGTGATCTACCTTAAAATAAAATGCTCTTATAAAAAATTACCTCAAGTCGAAGTGTCTTGTTATTACTCCTTAAGCTGGAACATTCATGCTGCATAAAATGAGCATATAATAGTAATAGGCCCCAGTATTGGATGTTTTGAGACCTAGTTCAAGATGCTTTGGACCACTATAGACCTGTGTCATCTTACTGTCCATGGCCACGAGGCACAGATTTCTCTCAAGTGTAGTTGACGGTGCTCAGCACCTCACAGGTTTGGGCCCTGAGTTAGTTTCTTGGGAGAAGCCGGAAGCATTTTCGAAGACCAATTAACAATAATTTTGAGGGCTGAGATTCAGTTATTACAGGAAATTGCCAAAAAGAAGTTGGGGTGTGAAGGAAATAGGGAGGCTGTCCAGGACTAAGCATGACATGATTGCTGACATTTGAGATCATGGTAGTCAAAACCCGTTGATAACAACTTTATGTGCATGTACTATCCAGATAAAGCAATGTAGATGGGTGCATATACATTTGGATGTTGACATGCACACACTTACTAATAACATGAATACACATCTTTTGAATCCCTTATAGTGGGGGTGGGGAACCGTTTTTGGATTGGGGGCTGCTGACCCACAGGAAAATCAGGCAAGGGCCACACACAAGTGAGAAGCAAAAAACCAAAAACAACCCTGTTCACTGATGTGGCTCCTGACTGAGAAGGAGAAAGACACTCCCCACATTTCCCTCACATACTAGAGGGCCCTCGGTAGCCCAGGCTAGTAGATTTTGTGCGCTCAGCCCCGTGGTGCGGTGGCGTTGGGGTTGGACCCAGGCAAGCTTGAGGGTCCCCACCCCTGCCTTATAGGATCCAGTAATTCAGCCTTTACAAAATTCACCCTGAAACGTAGCCATGTACGAGAATGTTATTGTAGTGAATTGTTCAGTCTCTGGTTGGGAAATGCGATAAATAATTTACAGTAACATTTTCAGGCTTGGGAGCCTGAGTCCCACTGAAAGTGAATGGAACTTGTGCTCTTAAATCACACAGGGATAAATCACGCAGGGTAATTTTTTTCAAAAGTGCCCAAGCAATTTAGGAGCTTAAATCTCCTTGACTTTCAAAGGGTCTTAGACTCTGTCTACACTGGGAAGGTGTGGCAACAAAACAGCTGTCAACATGCAAAAGTGAAAACTGATCAGGCTGGTTTTTCTGTCTCTCATTGTCGACATTTCATGGCCACATTGCTAGCTTCCCCTGTTGACAGACAGAGCAAAGCATTGTGGGTAAGCACCCCGCAGGGCAGTATTGTGGGAAGGCAGAGCTGATCCCTGCACTTCATGGGATTCTCTTCGAGTTCTCCCACGGCATTCTCAGCTGCTGGGAGCAGAATCACGAAGCTCTGTGAGCTCTCTATTCTGAGGAACGTCAAAGCAGCACAACAATCTTCCCCCTGCAGCAGCCGTCTGCCTGCTGCTGCGTTTCTAGCAGGGCAGAGTGGGAGCATTCCAATGATTTGCTCTTTTCGTTTCTTCCCCAAACAAAGAAGCTCACTCAGCTGTCAGATACTGCCAGGAGCTTTGAAACGGGAGAGGTGCATGCCTGCAGGGCAACAAAGATCAAAACACTGAGCACAGCCATCAGAGCAGGCATTGTGGGATACTGGCGGAAGCTAGTTTTCTCGACAAAACAAACAACAGAGTCCACACTGGTCCTTTGTTGACAACAGAGGAAGGGGAAAAGACAAAAGTCTCTCACAGGGGTGGAAGTTTTTTGTCCCCAAAACTGGGTAGTTTTCCTGACAAGTTGTATTGTAGTGTGTGCGCTCTCACTGTTTTGTCAACAAAAGGCAGTTTTTTGCTACAAAACATGCCAGTGTAGACAAGGCCTTAGGTTTCTGTGGGCTTAAGTCATTAACAAAAATGGGTCACAGGTAAATCACTGAGGTGTACTGAAAATGGTACCCTTGTAGGAATGTTATGGTGATTTTTTTTAATCTTACTAGGAGATTTACCCAGCGTTGCTCAGGCCTTTAATTCAAGTAAGTTTTGTTTTTCTTCATCATTGTTCTGGCATGGGGCTGGCGATGAGGGCTTCAGTATGCAATCTGCTCCAGTGAGAGAGGACAACTCCAGCCCCTCTCTCAGTGCAGCAGCTTGGGGTCAGGTCAGAATTGTCTCTCCACAGCTATTGCAGCTGCAGCAGGCACATCCCGGGGAAGGGTGCATATGCCGTGAGACAGATAGACAGACAGACAGACACCAACAGACAAACTCATTGCAGGAGGAGTAAGAGTGTTAATTTGAACTACCTAGCCCGTGCTGCGTGTAGCCGTGGGCAGGTAGTTCGAGCTACCGGGCATTTAAAAATGGTGGCGCCCGGGAACATGCAAATGAAGCCCGGGATATTTAAACCCCGGGCTTCATTTGCAAGTTCAAATGATTACATTAGCCACTCTAGTTCAAACTAGGGTGGCAGTATAGCCATACCCTTAGAGACAGAGACAAGAAGTTAAATATTTAAACAAGAGATGTTTTTTCCAGCCACAGCATTCATTGCCGCTGGAACTGTTGCTAGTGTGAGCTTTCATTGTGCTTTTTGAATCAAGACTGAGTCTCTGTTGACATTGCTATTTCTTACCTTGTTAAGGTGCTGGACTCACCTCTTTTCTAATTCCCCAGGGAAACCATCTGGGCTCACCGAGTCAGGTTTCTGGAAGACAGAGCCCTCAAGCACTGGACATCTTTCACCATTTGGAATGCTGGCAAACAGGGCAGGAAGCTCTATAGAAGCTTATCATCAGCTAATCAAAAAAAGGTGAGATGCCAAGAAAATCAAGTGTGGGTAAAAACTGTGAAAAGGCAATTTCTTCTCTCCTTCCTAGGCCCACTAGCTCCCTGACAATTAAAGTCATTGTAGCAGGGTGTGTGTATCTCACATTTTTCAGAGATGTTAGTTTGCCAGTTGTGTGTAGCTGTGCTGCTCCCTTTTTAAAATCATAGAATTCATTTCTCTTCCAAATGATGATATTTCATGTTATCAGGCTGCATGTCACATCTCATGGCCTTGCTGTTGGCATAACCTCACATCCCCCAGCAGTTCCAAGTGAACTAAAGAAAAATTCCTCTCTGGGTTTGACAGAGCATACCAGCACTGCACCGGTACACCAGGGGTTAATCCTTCTCTTTTAGCTGAAGAGGCCATGCCCCACAGCTCTGTTGAGCATGCTCTAGTTGGTGCTCGGGTATAAAAGACCTCAGAGTAGCTCAGTCTGGGCTGACCACGGGGGGTGCGTTGCTAGCTCTAGGGAGTGGATTGCTTGCACTCTGAGGCAGAGAGACCAGCTGGACAGGGCCAGATCCTGGTATACAGACAGGCGATGTCACAGAGATTAGAGGATCCCAGAGACCAAAA